TAACATCCAGAAGCACATGTGTGAACTAGCCTTGAAGTTTGAAAAAGGTTTAGGATGCCAGCCGCTCTATTTGCCTGCTTTTCTGTGAACAAGTTCTTCAAAGCGGTACATAGGCTTTCCGCTTACGCTTTCTGTGGAACTGTGAGCTTAATTTTAACACATGCCTAGGTAAAGTAGAGTGCGGTGGTACCGTTTCGTGCGAGATCTCGGTCTTTTACATAAGGCGGTGCACAATGATTTACTCGATGGCTCAGAGATGAAGAGCTGCTCACAGTGAACATGTCGTCAGCACACCTCGTACCAAGTAACCGAACAATGACCTGATGACGCCCGTAAGTTCTTCTCCTGGGAAAGTTGCCGCCAAGTTGCGATGCACCTTTTTCGAATGAAACTAGCGGCCTCGCTTTGTCTCTTAAGATATCTTGCCTAGTAAAATCCGACCCCATCTTGGGTTGAACTGTAGATGTCCCATTGCCGGTATGTATATGACGGTTTAGGTTGAATGTCATAGTTGAGTCAGCCACCGCCAAGTCATCCTTGGTGTGACAAATGTGAGCCATGTTGGAGCGCACCTATATCGTTTCGATCATCCAAGATATGGAGAACGCGCACATAGGCTCGAATACCTGAGCCTGTCAGAAAAAGACGCGAAAGAAAACAAATAAAGAGAAAGCATAGGGCGATGTTTTAACTCGCTCAACTCCCGTGCTTTCTTCCAGTGTCACTGTGTACAGCAGTGGCAACTGGTTCCAGTGGCCGCGGCACACCACACACTGGATCGGCCTCACACGAGCGAGCAGGTGTGTCGGCGTGTGGTCGTGCGATCACGCCTGCGTGATGCACGTTAAAGAACCCAGGTTATCAGTCGTACTATGGCTAAATTGTCATCTACGGCGGAGGCACCTGACGCCTTCCGAGGCACGCGTACCTCCCGTTGACGCGGCATCTACGTAGCGAATTTCATTTTGAGACCTCACCATCACTATAGGGAACGCGATAGCGACACCATGGTGCCACTCACTGCTACTGGTGAATAGATTGATATGTGTGTTTGTGGGTCGTTTAGATGTGCTCGGTTCAGATATGTCTATTTGATTTGTAAATCCTGTAACTCGTGCATGTCCGTACGCGTCACAGGGCGCGTATCTCCTTCGGTATTGGCATAATAGCAGAAGGACGTTTTTTTCTTCCTGTGGTTGTGGAGAGTCTGTTTTCGTCACTTTGTGTACGCGAAGTCTTGCACTGGGTAATGTTTCCTGGGAGGCACGTTCTTTGATTATACCAAGTCCTTGTTCGGGCTGTCTCGTGATGCGGGCGCCTCTCACTCAGTGATGTGATTGCCACGCCATTTGCGCTAAGGTGTTATATCCCGCTACATTTCTCTAAAATAAAGGTAATTTGCGCTAACGTTAAGCTACGTATTTCATTTCATTTAATTTTATTGACCTCAAGGCCATCCAGAGGTTGCATTTCACGTGGAGGGATTTCAAAAGCACATAATACACATCTTATTGTACAACAGTAAAACAAAAACACCCACCCAAAGAAGTGAAACCGGATTGCAGTAGATTAAGATGAACAGTATATGTGGTCAGTAAAGTGATGATAACAGAAGTTACGAAAGGTTATAACTATACACACACACAAAATAATACAATTATTCAACAACCTCGTGCGACAGTGGGTTACTGAGATACAAGCCAGCGTCAGCAATCATACAATGATCGGTTACGATATAATCAGATAAATTGTTTGTCATGGATGCAAGTAGCGAGTTTCACATAATAATGAAACTAATAGGTTAGACCCCGCTACACTGCGGGATCGTTACGGCACGCTTGTGCGAAATTGAGGAAATTTCAGGGGTATATATTTATTTTCGTATCGAACACTGACGGTACTCGAACGTTTCGCAATATTTCTCGTTGTCCCTGGTGTGTGCGGAGGAGTCGGTTAGCTTCGTTAAAGGGGTACTCGGGCTACTTATTGAGCTACCCCAACTAACTGCATTTCCGGAATCACCGGCCTTTACTCTTTTCGGTGTGCTATTTAGTGCCGCGAAATTCAAGAATAGTTATTGTGAAGTCAGCAAGTGAAAATGATAGCAAAACCGACATTCAAATATACCCGCGCCTTTCAGTGCTGTGACGTCGGGGGGAGGGGAGGGGAGGGAGGGGGGGGGGGGAGGCAGGCTTGCAGGTCGAGCGGGCCGTGTAAAAATTTAACAATGCCGAGCCTTTCCCTACCGAAAAACCCGGCATAACTTTTCACTATCTTGATTATAAAACTAGAAATTTTTCATCTGGAAACTTGAAATCCAGATTGCAGACAAAGGATTAATATCTGAAAAACTAAAATGTGAATAGAATCCAGATAAATTTCCAGTTCCATAATCCAGATAGCGAAAACTTATACCGGAATTTTCGAGAGGGTTGTTTCGAGCTGCCACGCGGGTGCTGGAGTGAGTTCCCATGGCGTTTATTTGACACTATGAAACTGCTTGTAATCAGTTGGGAACAACGTCAACAGTCCAAAGAGTGAACTCCCGCCTTCTCCTGCTGTCACTTTTTCATTGTTGCCAGTAGAGACTTTAAATTTGAAAAAAACACTGTGAGAACCAAAATTGAAAGTTCCATAACTTCGCGAAAAAATATTTTCCCCCAATATTTGCGTTACTATTTCACCAATGTTTGGTTATGTGTTGAGCAAAATTTCAGGCAAATCGGGGACTATGAAGGAAACGCCTGAGTACCCCTTTAAGTGCGTTTCTTAGCGCGCATCCGTGCGCTGCGGAGGAACGACACCCGCGGAGTAGACGGCGTGCTCCTGCGTTTCCCGCTTCGCCGCAGTGCAACCACCTGCTGAGGGGAAAAGCACCCTTCCAGAGCGGAATTGTTCACGCGCGTGCGTCAATAGATACAGGGTGCTTTTTCTTTCAAGCTTAACAGAATTTTTTCTCAAAAACCATTAAAGCTACATTAATGCTGTCTGCGCAGGTGAGTTATACGGCCAAGGGGACATAATAAAGAAGGCTAATCGTAACGATCAGTCGGCTAATTAGTTAAAATTTGTTAATTATCTTTTTAATTAATTAAAATATACATATAATTTCAATTAGAAACTTGTTGGGCGTCATCGAAAACCCATAAATTCGTCATTTTCAGAAAGACTTTGAGCGCGTGAGAAGCGTAGTAGTGCACTAAACTTAGCACTCGTGGAGCACGTACAAAGCTAGCGGTTGCGATAAGGCGCCTGCGCAATTTTTCCGTCTCTTATCTAGCCCCAGCCTTCTTTCTGCTCCACGAGCGGTAACTTTAGTACACTACCACGCTTCTCATGCGCTCAAAGTCTTTCTGCAAATTACTGATTTAGTGGTTTTCGATGACGCTGAGGAAGTTGCTAATTGGAACTATATGTCTATTTTCATTAATTAAAAAGTTAATTAACGAATTTTAACTAATTAGCCGACTGATCGTTATGATTAGCCGCCTATACTATGTCCCCCTGGCCGTATAACCCACCTGCGTAGACCGCATTAACTTAGCTTTCATGGTTTCTTTTTAAAAATTTTGTTAAGCTTAAAAAAAAAAAACACCCTGTATATATATATATATATATTTTATTTCTTTATTTTTTGTCGGGTACCTCCGCCTTGTGAATTTCCCTAAAATCATTATCATCTATCGTTAAGGAACTTGGGTGAATACTGATGTGAGTCCTCTGTACCTTGCAGTAAAATTTGAAATTTCCGAAGTTGAACCACGGCTGTGATGGTTTGTGCTATCTTGATGAGTTGCTTGCAACATTGATCGTTGTTTGTCTCGGATTCAAGATGTAGATATGAATAATTTCGGCGAACGAATATCGAAATAGCCCCAGGGACTGCTAAGCTGCAGTATGCGTTTAATTTCTATGCTAACGGGCGTTTTACATAAGTTCACAGGACACGATGAAATATCGCGCACAAAGAGACAAGGACAAAGGAGGAAGGAACACAGAACACAGACGGACGCGTTCCTACAGCCAGACAGGTCTGTTCCTCTTTGTGCGCTATTTTCCATCGTGCATGTCTAAAGGAGCTGTGCAACGATTTTAACCTTGAAAGAATTGGCATCTTCTACTTTTGACATTGTTCATCTTGTCAAGGACAGAAAACACACATCCTTCCTTCAAATAGTTGCTATGACAGGCTATAAATAAACCGGCCTCTTCGGCCAACCCGTTGCTCCCCGCGGCGTCTAGAGAGGTGCAAGGGCTAGTTGACTCGGAGACGTCACCCGATTCAAACCGTTCAGCCGTATTCGTCCATTCGTCAAGTACCCTGCCTGTCCACACTTGGATGGGTAGTCACAACCTTTAGCTATATCTTAGGTATTTGCACTTAATATATACTCATTAACACCGTTTTTATTCCGGTTAGCCTCTTTTCGTTCTGCGTGAACTCCGCGAGAACAAACACGTAGGGCTGTTTTTTTCTCGTCTGTGTGGCTTTTTGTTTAGTCTGGTGAATATTACGAATAAATTTTTCGGTATATGTATTTGATTCGACATTTGTGAGGAGTGATCCTGGCTAGAGTCACCAGACATCTACGCTCCGAGTTTCCGCACTCTTTTCCAATTCTCTGACGCCGTCACGACGGCCACCCGCCTGTTCGCGTTTCGTGATATTTGTTCACGTATACCAGCGGCTCGTGGCCGTCGCTATTTTTGTGTTTTTGTGTTGTGTACGAGTGCCGTTTGTGACAGTTATGGTCGTGAAATGCGACCCTCTGGGCGGTAGCTACGACGTTTCGAGGTCATCGCGGTATCATTGTGCTTTGTTGCGAACTGTTTTAGCAAGCGGAACGACTGAACGCACTCGTGAATATTCCCCTCGAGCACGTTGGCAAAAATTCAGGATAACCGACAACATCGATTCTACGCAATTATTCTGGCCGAATTGTATCGTTAACCTAGCTCGATTGAGAGTGGCTCTAACGGCGGTCGTTTCTCCTCGGCAGATTGGAGAGCTCTTCGAGCGGCGGGGGCGGAGGCTGCCGACTGGCCCAGGGCCCTTCCGGCTCCGGCTGCCAGGGCGTCGGTTCCTCTGCCGCCGCCCAGGCGCTCAGCCAGGCCCGTCCCGTCGAGCTGGCCTTCCGGGGACTGAGCGTGTCGTGCGGGAGCAAGGCCATCCTGCAGGACGTCTCCGGGCTCGTACGGCCCGGCGAGATGCTGGCCGTCATGGGACCCTCCGGTACGTAGAGCCCTCGCGTCTTGCTCCCTCACCTCTGTTTTGAAAGTATGGCACGTCCTTTTAAGCCATGCTCGCCCCATCCTTCGGCGTCAAAAAAAGAAAAGCGTTTGTGAGAGCCCGTTGAAAACGGCATCTCCTGCGGTTGACCAGCTGCCAATTTGATATCACCTCTCGGCTCCAGCTGCGTCGCCCGCAGCACCGGCAATTCTTGCGTCCTAGCTTGGCGCAGCTGTGACCTCTTTAATGTTTCGGCCTTACTCGGTGTTCGAGTAAGAAGTTTGAATGCTTTCTCCTGGTCCGTCCGTCTGAGGCGGCCCTTGTTGTATCCAGGAACCCGAGCAATGGACACAACAAAAATGCTACGAGTGAGAGTAAAAAAAAAAAGATATGTGGAGAAGGTGTTGCAGGATCCAGTCACGTACCAGGGGTTGCCACGATCGGCGGCTTCCTGTCAGCCATTGCACACGAGACAGGGCTGGAACGGGTCTTGCCACCGAGCGACCGGGCACCACCAGAGTCAGTGGTGGTCCCACAGGACAAAAGCGTCTACCCCGGATAGGCTATGCTATTTTCGTGTCCATATAGTGACGATTTTTCTGAATGTTTTATTTGAAGAGTGTAGTTCGTTTTTATAAAATAAATTTTGCAGCACGTTTGGCTTAATCTTGATTGGCAGTTGTTACTTAGGTTTGAGATACGCGACCAAGACTATTTTCGTCTTGGCCCAATTTGTGTCAAATTGCGTTGGTCAGTAACTCGGGGGCCATATATAGAAGGGCCAAGGACCATATGCAAATGTATCCACGCACAAAAAGCATGCTGGGAATGCAGGTACACGTGCTGCACGCGCTCGCATTGTCTGTATGAAAGATTTGAAGTAAATTATTGAGAAAAAAATAAAGCCGATTGGTGACTGATCGTGCAATGCGCCATTTCTTTTATATTGTTGCCGTAAACAAATAGTGCCGCAGACGCCACCATGTGCATCGCACGTAACTTACTACACGCGCAGTATGCATTTTGCTGCTTGTGAATTTTTGCGAAGGATCGATTCGTAGCAGAAATGCGCCGCGGTTGCTACTCAACTGACGTTATTATATTGTCCCCCTTTTTATAAATTAGTTGTTCTTAACAATTTAAGAAATGAAATAAATTTCCTAAGAAATTTGCTACTGCTAAGACACGCGCTACTCATATTATGGTCGGGTCCTGTAAGTTTCTCGTCCGATGGCAACAAACCTCCGCCTCTTGTTGGAATGGCGGCTCTTGTAAGCGCTCCGAATGTCTCCTTATCAAATTAATTTAATGGCATATATATACAGAAAACTTAACCGAACAAGTCTCGGTTGGCTACTCCGTGCAGGAAACGTGAGTGGTAAAATCGCAGATCACAAGGAAGAGAATAACAATGTAACCAAACACGTAGCGACGTATAGGATAGAGAATTTACGACGCTGGCTTTTACGAGTTTTGTAAGTTAGTATAAAGGCAATAAAACGCTCATTAAATGTCAATGCTGGCCGGCTTTGAAAACCCATTTGCCGTGCTCCGCGTTCCATAGTAGTAGTAGTTGACATGCTTTTCAGGCCTAGTCCATTTGCGCGTGCAAAGCGGTTCACTTGAAGGCACCTACAGAGCGTGGAAACAGGAAACGCAAGCTCCGCAATTGTTTTAGATTTGAACCACTATTGAGGATCGGCATACTTGGAAATGTTCCGCGAACACGTCTTCTGCCTCTCCTTGGAAAGGGAAGCGCAGTCGGTTTCGGAAGAGTGCGCCTTGCCTTGCAGGACGCTCGGTAGGTGCCTATAGCTCATGGCTCATAGTTCTTTCTCTGGAGAAGGATAATCGCTGATGACCTTGACGCGACCTCGGAATGTTCTCTCGCTATTCCCCTCGCGTCAACCATACTGGCGTAGATTACTTCAGACATGTAATTTAGTAAAAAAATACGAGCCTTTTTTGTTCTCCAAAGTTAGGTAATTGCATTCTTACCCATATGTAAGCCCTTTTCGTTCGTTCTGGCTACTAGTGGAAATAGATACGCGCACAGAGAACTTCGTAACTTTGCGTTTATTTCTGTATTTACGACTTATATCGCACTTATCCAAGGTGAAGCCGACGTTGCGGCAAACATCCTGTTCCGAGCAGAAATTGCTAGCTTGCAGACACTAGTCTGTCAACAGATTGACTTTGCTGCCATGGCTACGACACAGCAGGGCAATGAGCTGACGAAACTTCAACTTTCTTCATCTTTAAGATTCGAGGCCACCCTCTACCATTTCTTACTCAGACTTTAATTCGTGGTAGGCCAACAGGTCCTCGCCCATATGGTCCACTTGACTCACAAGGACCAGTCTTCAGAGCTCTTCACCGACTTCCTCGTCCCGGAATCCTGGCTATGCGGAAGCTGGTCACATCGCACTTCATTTGCTCAAGAGTGAATGCACATCATGTCATGGGCGCGTTCCTGTCAGAAATACGAACGTGAGAACTCCAGCGTCACACCAAAACTTTCCTGCCGGCCTATCCCTTACCAGATCAGCAATTCGGTCATATCCACATTCACCTGGTTGGACCTCTTCCGCCATCTAGCGGTGACACGCATTTACTTGTCTCCGTACACCGCTTCAAGTGCTGACAGGAGGATATCCCCATAGATGACATTACAGCATCTACCGTGCCTCACGCTCTTATCAAGGAAGGGGTCGCACGGTTTGGCGTCCCTTGCATCATCACCACAGATCGTGGCCTGCAATTTGAGTCGAGCATTTTGCTGACCTCCCACGTCTCCTTGGAGGCGCTCCAATACGCCCCACATCATTTATTCCTCGTACAGCTTCGGACTGGAACGGCCTTTCCCACCAGATTGCTGCCATCAGCTGCCCATCGACCTTCATGGGACACATAACCCATCGCCTATTACAATAATCTGTGGCATTAATGATTTTTTTTTTGTTGTGCCCACCCCTCATGTAATACCTCTCCCTGAGGTCTTTAATTAAATAAAATGATTGATTAAAGTGACCATAATACCCTCAATGTAAGGTTATGGTAGAGTGTTTTCACTCTCACTTAAAGACCGGACTCCAAGCCCATGACACAACTGAGGGACTGAAGTACTTCCAATAATACCGCCCTTGGTCTGTCTTCCAGGGATATCTGGGCTGTTCATCAGCGAAGCTTGTATACGGCGCAACAATAAGTCTTCCTGGGTAATGTTTCTAAGAAACATCCACGTACTCAACAACGGACATCGCAGATTATGCAGCTCGACAATTCAACACGATGCCACTCGTACAACCAGTCGAGCCACGAGCCACATCTCAGCGATGTGCATTCATAACGAAGACCTCCACTCGTGCACACAGCTGTTTGCAAGAAGAGACAAAGCTAGAGAATCACTCGATCCACAGTATGAGGTTCCCTACAAAGGAATTCATCTGGACACGAAGGCGTCTACCTTGGACATTTATGAACGACCGGAGGTTGTGAGTGCAATCGCCTGGAAGCTGGGCACATCGGTAAGACTACGGCGCCATGTGTAGCCAGGCCTGTGAAGCATGCGCACTGGGCAACCCGTATCGACGCGAGACCTGCAGATAGTAACACTCGCCCAGTTTCTTTTCAAGAGAGGGAGCACCTGTGGCGGATCCCTACAGCGAAGAAGTCGATGACGTTGGAAGTCGCGCGAGCACGGACCCCAATTCGGCACTGGCCGTTCTTACTTTTGAGTCTAACAACTCCCACAATTCTTTTTTTTCGCCCTAGCATCGGCCCTTCGCGCACCTTCGGGCCGACACGACGGTTGGGCGGCCTGCGGCGATTGTCCCGAGGGGCCCACGAGGACCGTCTGTCCGTCCGTCCCGCCCACTTCCCAGCGAGTGCCCGGGGTGCACCTGTCGTCGTCGGTCCTTGGACGCACATGGCGAGCGAGCCGGTCTCGGGGTGACCAAGGACGGGCCCTGCTCCGGCGGCAGGTCCACGGGCAGGTCCGGAACAGCCGGAAATTTACGAGAACCGTGGAGCGCCGCAGAGCGCGTGCACCTCGACCTTCCACTCCGTCGGGACTTTGGAGAAGCGCCGACTGTGCCCCCGAGGGCGACAAACCCCGCGGTTCGCCGTACCCTTCTCGATGCGCTTTTTCTTTTTATCTTGCGCGTGTGTGCGGGTTTAGCTTTGTTCTCTTCCCGTCGCTCATTTTGCCCCCGCATTCCTGGCGCGAACGGCCCCCTTTCTCTCCAGCCGCTTCTTCTTAATGCACCCCTTTCCACCCGGCATTGCCGATCTCTGGCCCGCAAGCATGGTGCCGCTCCCGCCTTTTGCCGTCCCCTCGCTAGGCAGGAGGAGCACCGCGCCGCGAAGGGGAAAAGAAGGCACCTACAAAAGGCGGTTCCGAGGGGTGGTGGCACGTCTCGCTAAAAGTTGGTCGGCAAGCTTTGGGTCGTCGCTTCGCTGCTCCGTGTGCGTTATCCAGGCAAACTCGCCTTCGATCTGACGTCATCGCCGGATGAATCTGCGGCGCCGGCGTCAGCATCCGGTTACGTGCTGCCGAGCGTGGATTGCGACGCCCGAAAATAGCTCGGCGTAAAGATGAATGGATGGCACGACAATGCGCGCGGGGAGCTCTTCGGAGAACAGTTGGCGCGACTCACTGAACTCTCCTCGTGGCGAATAGGGAAACTTCTTCGCTCGTTACATGGCGAAAAAAAAAGTGAAATAATTACTTTGCTTAGTGGCTTATGTTCAGAAATTGCAGGTTCATAAGGTTTCGAGAATGTGTGAGCACGTGCTTGAGCGAACACGGGTACCCCCTCGAGCAAGGAAGCCAGATCCTTCTGGCTCCATTGAGCTGCAGTGACCTTGACTGAGCCCCTCCTCCCCCAACGCCCCTTTTGTGCCTATTGTGCCTTAATTATATTTCAGCCTCATGTTCGTTCAAAGGTGCTTCTTCCGTCTCCTTCCTAATACGCACATCGTTTCATCCAGGCAATCCAATC